GAAGTTTGGGTAGTCAATCACCCTGGTTTGCTTGGGCTGAGGTAGTACCTGGGGCAGAGAACTTTCGGTACTAAAACCGAAACACCCTGTGCAAACCTTGACTGCTTTGTTACCCTTACTGGGTGAATTCTGGCACAAAATAGAACTTTCGTGTGAGGTGGTCCCAGTGCAAGTCTAGTGCAAGTGGTACTAATACATTTCCTAACTTAGAAAGATCCCCGAGCTAGTGCTGTTTGCATCCAGGCTGTAGCCTTGGAGAAAAATAAAGTACTTTGACCTTAAAAATTTTAAGAAATTAACTTTCACAGCCTCCCAGCTTTCTACTTACTCAACAGCCTACTATAGGGTATTTAAGCACTTTGCTGCTATCACCAAAGAGTTGTTTGTTCAAAGACAAATGACCTCAAGCCTGGAACTCTATGACTTTCCATTAATGCCTGGAATTAATGTCAGGATTCTCATATGTGCTCCACTAATAGCTCCTCAGTCATATGCTTCTTTGTTAAGCTCTCCTTATGCACTCCTTGTCTTCATTTTCTTCACTTAATAACTAAACATTTTATATGCATTGAGACTTAATAAATTGCAAGGAGTTTCCCTAATAGGTAAAAACCAGAGTTTCAAAAACTAAAATTATTCACTCAACAAATATTTATCAAGCAGTTCCTATATCTTTGCTGCTAAAGATAAAAGAGTGAATAATGCAAGCACACCCTGTCAGGCTACAGAGGGATTCTGAGGAGTAAATGGGCAATAGCAATGTGGCAAATACCATGAAGGTCATGTTTCCCTTGCTATGGGAGCACACGGGAGAAACAACTAGTCAAATTTGAGGGTCCTGAAAGCTAAATGAATGGGTAGCACTCAGGTTAATGTATTCATTGATTAATTCAATAAATGTTTATTGAGAGCCCAATGTGCAGCAAGCACTGTAATAGCCATTGCATATGAGCATGACTATAAATATGACTGGTCTTTATGTGGGAGTTTCATGGTCTAACATTAAGAAATACGTACAAATGAATAATTATAATATGATTTAATAAGGGCGGTAATAAAGCTCTCCAAGGAAAGTCTCACAAATAAAGGTGACTTCTGTATGGAATTGTACTTGACCTATAAATTTAGGGAGGAACTCACAGGATAATGGAGGAAAAGAAGAGCTCTCCAAGCAGAGGCAACAGCTTGCAGAAGTACGTAGAGGTGTTAAAGAACATAGCCAGTAAAGCAACTACACACAGCTGGGCGTGGCTGTGGGTAACGTGTTGGTGAGGTGCGGTAGGCAGTGACTGGAATAGTAAGTGGCATAAGGTCACCAAAGGTCTGTTATGCCACATTAAGGGGTTTGGATTTATTCTGAAAATTGTGGGAAGTCACTGAATGGCTTTAAGTTGGACGGTGACCTTTTGAGATTTGTGTTCTGGAAAGATATCTGCAAAGATTGTGGACTGGATTGAAGGAAGAAGTAAATTATCTGACCCTCAGAAACACTCTATGAAGTGAGTATGGCAGGTATTTTCACTCATATTTAATATAGGAGGGTTCTAGAGGTCAAGTGATTTGCTGAAGTTCCCCTAGGTCATCCCAAAATTGAACAAAATCAACACTGCCCAGAAAGAAATGTAGTTGGAAACCTCTACACCATTTACCTTTGGCTTCAGCCATGTTATCCTTAAAAATGATCTTTAAAAGTTCTGTTTGCACTGTTAATTCCAACTATATTTGCATTAGAGATTAGACAGAATTTGTACAGTCTGAATTAGATGCTTTGAAGCATCAAAGTGTTCCATAATATTCTTTTCTATTTTCTAGGCAAAGATCTGGGTCACTCTAATTTTCTAAAGTTCTAAGTTTTCTTAAGTCTTGCACTCCAGGCTACAAATAAGCCATTGAAATATTCCAACATTTTTTATTTGGAGTCAGCAGGGGGTAATTTGCTTTAAGAAAGTGATATTTGTATCCTCTAATAGTGTAAACATTTCAAAATTGTTGTCATGGGCTCAAATTTATGTCTTCTGACATTTGTGGAATAACGTGGATGACAAATAATTTTGACTTAATACGCTTGATTTGGTTTTGCTTCTCAGTTTTATAAATAAGTGCCAAAGAGCCAATAATGATTTTTCTCTTCCCTCCAAAAATGTTTCTAGTCAATAAAGTTTTCAAAAAGTTTATTAATTACCATCAATATTAGGATTAAGTCCATAGAAAAAGGAAATACAGTAGTTTAAATTATTCCTAGAATGTCTGGAATTGTTAAGGGATGAAAGGTAACAACAAGTCTGTATATGTTTTGCAAGGGAAGGTCAGTTTACCTTTTTCCTTAGAACTTGGCTCTTAGTGTGGTCCCAGGGCCAGCAGCATCTGTGTCACCTGGTAACTTGTTAGAAACACAAATTCTTAGTCTGAACCCCAGACCTATTGAATAGAGTAAGGGGAGAAACAGCAATATGCTTTTGCAGAAGCTCCCCAGATGATTCTGACGTATGCTAAAGGTTGAGGCATGATGGTATAAGAGAACAAAAGCTTATGTTTCAGATTACAAAGAACATGGTTTCAATTCTAATTCCAGTCATGGAATTTTACACACATCATCTCTTTCCTGGTGTCATCACCGGATTACCTGGCTATTGGCTTAGCCCCTTAGCTTGCCTTATTAGTATTGTAAATACTACCCGAGTTATTCTTATTCACTTGCTATGTCGGCAGTCTTCCCTCTCCAAGTCATTCGGATGCATGCTTACGTTTGAAAACTACTGATGTATAAGGTATAATGCACTGGAAGCACACCAGCTACATAACCTGCAGTGCCCAGTGCAAAAGGAAAATGCAGCATCCCTTGTCCAAAAATTAAGAATTTCAAGATGTTGACAGCAGAGTATTAAACAAGGAATGGGCCCTACTGAGTATAGGCCAATGCTTGTTCAGGTTAAATGCCCAAAGAGGAGTTTCTGCCTGTATCTAACCACACTTTTTTTTTTTTTTTTTTTTTACAGATGGGAATAACACAATGCAGTGAAAGCAGGCCACATTTCCCCCTCAGACACCACCAATCTTATCCCCTGGGCTGTATCTCTTCAGAGACGGACCATGCTCATTAGCCTCTCCATCTTTGCTCACTGATGTCTGTCTTCCTTTCAGCTGTACAAGTATATTTGTACTTCACGAGCCAATCTAAAGTCTTCATCTTCCCTGAAGTCTTCCCTTCCTACCTTAATTCACTTAACTCTTGTATTCCTAAACTTTTCAAGTACTTGTTTTATATCATAAATTTAGCTCTTATTTTTAAATATTAATGATTGGCACTCATCATGTTCATGTTGTCTCTTGAGTTAGAATATAAGCATCTTACAAAAGGAGATGGTGCCATTATCATACAATGGAAAGAGCACAGGCTTTTGAGGTCTGCATGTAAATATACCTGTCTGATAATCTAATTGTGATGAGAAAAATTAATTCACATTGATCCTCAGAATCTTCATTGGAAAAATAAGGTTAATTGGGCGTTTATGAGGATTAAATGAGATAATACACATATGTAAAGACCTGTGGAATACATAAGCGTTCATCAAATATTAGTTTCTCTATCAATTGTACCCCATAATACATCTGATTTGCTTCAGCAGACAGACCAGTGCTGAACACAGAAATCAGTATTCAATAAATTTTGCTCATTGGAAGTTAAATATATCTTTTTAAAATGTATTATTCTACATGTATCCAGGAAGTAAGCCAATCTTATATTAAATTTTGTATGAAGTGTTATTAGCTTTGACTTGTTATAATTTTATTTTTTTATGTTCAATATTTAAAAATCATGTTTATTCTATTATAGTTGTCCCAATATTTCCCCCTTTGCCCTCCTCCACCTATCCCACCCCCTCATCCCCGCCCCCAGTCAATTCCCACACTGTTGTCCATGTCCACGGGTCATTCATACGTGTTCTTTGTCTAGTCCCTTCCTCTTCTTTCTACCAGCGTCCTCCTTCCCCATCTCCTCTGGTCACTTTGGCATTTTCACACCTACTATGTTATTAATAATACTTTACATGGCTGAAAATAGAGATATTCTTATTCCCAATGAAAAAGAAGGAAGAATGGCATCAACAGATTCAGAGATTACTATAATTTACAAGGTACTACTGCAATTTAATACACACTAAAGTGTCCTTGAATCTGGGACTAAACTCAAATAATGCTAGGTCCTTGTCCAATATTTCTTTCCCCACTGTAAGCAATTATCTCCAACAAATAAGAATATACCTGCAAAACAAGTGTAGGAACAATTATTTTAGTTGTTTAAAATAGTGTAAGACTATTTCTTTTTGTGTTGAGTATATAGTGGGCATTCAATGTCTCTTGAATCAAAGTATCTAATAAAGATGCTGATTCACAGTAGCACATGCTTAGTAAAGAGTGTTATTTAAATTCCTTTTTTTGATACACGTATTTTAAAGGGCCCACTCTCTACTACTTAAAATTTAAGAACAAGGCTTATTATTTTTAAGATAGTTTCAAATTGGGGCCTAACCCATCATGCTTGAGAACTGCTTCCCTCTCCTATCTTTATTATTGTACTCTTTCCTGCTAACTGGCACAAACCACACATGCTTGCCAAACTTATGACTCAGGCTTGTGAAGACATTTTGAGGCCTCTCAGTCACAGCCCAGGAACCCAAAACTGTTCCCACGTGAAACAGCCAAACATGCTCCCTAGGCCAAAGGTCCGCTACAGTGAGGACTCTTGTATAAAAGGCGAATGAGAAAGCAGCACCCCCTTCTGCTCCCACCCCCTTCGCGTCGTAGTATCCAATCGCTTTTCTCTATCGTGTGGTCGGAGCCCAGGATTGGCCAGGAATGAGAAGGGCGCGGGGCCAGTGTGCCCGGGCGGAGCGCGGAGACTTGTCCATCACGTGCGGCCTCGGGGCCTCCCCTACTCGCTGCGCGCACGGCGAGGTTGGGGGGCGGGGCCCGGGAACTGCTGCGCCTGCGTTGTGGGCGTTCTCGGGGAGCAGCTGCCGCCGCCGCCAACGCCACTGCTGCGTTCTGGTGTAGAATCTGGAATCCCTGCGCCGCCTTAACAATGAAGCAGAGTTCGAACGTGCCAGCTTTCCTCAGCAAGCTGTGGACGCTTGTGGAGGAAACCCACACCAACGAGTTTATCACCTGGAGCCAGGTACGGGGTTGGGGTACGGCGGCCTCCGAACCCCCTGACTAACCGCCTCCTTTCTCGCTCTCTCCCGCGGGGTTGTCCCTCGCGGCCTGTGGCTCGACGCCTTGTGCGAGGCCCGTGGGGTGGCGGGACGCCGCGGGCCTCGGTATTCGGTCTCCTAGAGGACCCCTCGTATTATTGTCCCCGCAGGGAGTTGTGGGGAGCTGCGGGGAGCTGCTGGGGTCCTGACTGGCGCCGCTAATCCCAGGCCGCGGTGGGGGAGGGGCGGCCCGCGCGGGGCGCCGCGGCCGAGGAGGCCTCGTAACGGTCCAGCCCGGTGGGCTTTCGGAACCTGCCGGGCAGAGCGGGGGGCGGCCGATGAGCCAAGGGCGCGGGAGCTACCTTACTGCACACTCCTACTCGGTGCTCCCGCTGGGCTCGCGGGTTATGGACAGACAGCCCTGGGCTTATCGTAGGAAATCTACCCCAGCGACCGGATTTTCCTCTCTAAACATAACACTGCACTTTATATCTGGGATTTTTATGAGACGAGCAGAGAAGGAGGCAGGTGTTCAAATGCAGGCTACTGCTTATCAATAGGTTTTTAAAATTATGTAAAAAATAGGACATTTTGAGCCATTTGTGTACACGTATTTTTGTGATTATTTTAATCAAAGTGCTTATAGGTAGGTATTCAGTAACTTAATAAGGAGCTATTTAAAATGAATCACTAAATTTCATTAACAGTTGACTCAGAATGATAGGTGGAATGCCTTGATTATTGTTCTGATCCCAACTGTGCCACTAAACAGAGATGACCTTAGTCAAGCTCCTTATTTTGTGTGGCCTATGCTTCATGTTGGTAAAATGAATGGGTTGCCTAGGTGATCCAAGACCACTTCAACTTACAGACACTAAGATTCTAAGCAGAGTGATTTTTACATGAACAATGTGTGTGCGTTAGAATTCACTTTCAGGCCGTTGGAATTGTTTTGCGAAGGGCAGTGGATGTACCCTGCTTACTATAGGTGATCATCTGTTTGACATATTTTCTTGTCTAGAGGTGTGGAGAAGGGAAAACTACCTGCACAATGCCTGGCACTTGTTAAATGCTGAGTAAATGTTATCTCCCCTCTTTCTCTCCTGTTTCTTGCCTATCATAGGAATTCTCAGTTATATTGTTTACTTTTGTCTTAACGGGGGCACTATGTTGAGTACTTGAAGTTTTGACTGTGCTAACACCGTGTTCTGTCTTACATTACTGTCATTTGTTCTTTTTTTAAAATCTTCCTTCTAGGACTTAATTTTTCTTGATATCATCAACCGAATGGTATTAAGCATTTGATGAATTCTGTACAGTTGTACAAAGAAAGGTGAAAATAGGGAAGCCAGCTGCCTGCATACACTTAAAAATAAACAGATGCCTCATGCTTTCATCAGTCAGAAGGATTAAAAGTTGACAAGGATGGATCAGCACAGGCTTGGATCAGTAACAGCCTTGTGTTCATATTGGATATTGGACGGAGAGTCTCCCTCTCACACGAGCTGATTTTATCATACTTTTTTGGCTTGGAGGGGCTTTCTTGTTTTTATTGCCTAGAAATGGTACATGAATACAGGGTTAAGCACAATAATGCCTCTTTTTAATTATAAAATCTTTTACTACAAAATCATAAGCATGTATTTCTAGTACAGTGTCACATGCAAGCGCACCATAAGACGTTTTAGGTGAAATGTTCAGATTAAACCTGTAAATTATTACACACATATTATTACCCTACCAACCATACTCAAGGAGGCATTATTTCTGCCAGACCCTGTATATTGGCAATTGGTTTTAATTAAAGGGCATTATGTTGATGATGGGTCTAATAAATTCATATTAGCCAAAACATTTTAACATTCTTATGGGCAGTATCAAATGTAGAGAGTTTCATATTAATCCATAAATGCATCATTTTATGAATTCTAAGCCAAATAAGCAACTTAAAATCAGTCTCATTTTTCCCAATATTAAGTCTAAACTGCACATTTTCTAATACATAATGGGACAAGTAAAATACAGATCGAGAGCAAGGACAGTATCTATGCCAGGGATACAGTAGGTACTTAATAAATGTTTGATGAATCAATGAAATTCTTGAAGTATATAATGGGAGTGATAAGAATGATGATAAAGATAGAGTTATGCCTGAACAGAACCTTAAAAATCATCTAGTTTAGACTTACATAGTTAAGGATTTGAAGCTTAGGTTAGACTATTTATTCATAATTACAAAGCTAACTATTATTTGAGGTGGAAATCTAACATAGATGGCTGACCTTCTAGATGTGTTCCAGCCACACCACAACACTTAATACAGGTTGGCACAATGTTTAGTTACCAAAGTCTTAACTTTCACAAGTCAGTGGACAGTTGTGGATTTAATACTGTTTAGGGCTAAAGCTTAGTGGCTTAGGGAAGCTGTCTCACTCTCCCACAGATTTTTCCAAATACAGTGGCAATGAAAGGTAAAACTTTAATTAAACAATGATGTTAGATGGAAAAACCAAAATAAATTACTCTCATGTTTTAAAAGTTGCTTTTTAAAAACAAAAAAGTTATTATTTAAAAAAAGTTGTTTCTGGTTTCCTTCAAACTTTTTTTGCTGAACTTTTGTTGGGTAATTTAACATTTGTACTATTTCAGTGAAAATCATATTAAGACCTTTTAGAAGCAGCAGATGTTTTGGAAAGGCAGTATTTTATGCATTTTTTTTTCACTTGTGGAAAATAATTTATTCCTTTAGCTTGAGTATAAGACAAGGGGAGAAAACTTTTGCCAACTAAAGTTTGGCTTAATATTCCTAAAGACTCATATAACTTTAGTTGTTTTTTTTTTTTTGAAACTTGTAATATGACAGAAATTAAAAATGAAATACTTCCATTTTCATCCTTAATTATAGAAATGTAATATTCCAAGCAATCAGAAAGAAGTATACTAAGTGTATTATTGATTCAAATAATTGAAATGTCTTGAGATCCAGGGTGTCTCTAAAACTTACTGTACTTGTTTTATTTTTCCTATATTTTCCCCATGGAACATTCTTTTTACTTTCCTTTTTGGTTCCTTCAGTTCCTGTAACTTCAAAATTTTATTTAGGTATTTTGGCTCTGGTAGGTAGTCTATTGCTGAATGAAAGACAGATAATGCTATTGGACGACCTAAAGCTGTTTCAATTGTAAAAGAGTTCTAAACAGAGGACACAGATTTAGCTTGGAAGCCCCTGGGGAAACTTGAAATTCAGAGATGAGGTTATGGAAATTGAATGGAAGTTCTTTTCATTGGTAGTAAAAAGCAGCCCTTACTGCTATTGATATTTGATACTTTGTTGATGTGAAGCAGTATAAAAAAAGGAAAAAATTGGAAAGTCATTGTTTTGCCAGTGTTACTACTTTTGTCTCTATTCTTTAGATTGCTCGAGAAGACCAAGAAGTGATTTCCATTGAAGACTTTATATCCACCTTTTTTTGTGTGCCCTTTGGCATTCTGTACATCTGTATCCCTCTCAAATCAGCAGAGATAAATCTGGAAATACAAGGGAAAGAGTGCAAAAACAGAGTGTATTCAGTGTTCCTAGTTTTTTTTGGTTGAGTTTGTTCTGTAGGCTCTTAAAACTTCCAGTGTTCTGGTACTGTTTTGAACTTCTCAGCAACCATTACATTATGGCAGTATTGCCAAGTGAAAACAAATGCCACAAATGTGGCAGAAATCCACCTTAGGTGGACCGACAAATAGTGGAAAGATTCATTGAGGAGTGTTTAGTTTGTATATGTAAGAGGAAGAACTCGAGACTCAGAAGGAATGGTTGGTGAATATTAAGTTGTAGACTGATGATTTAAGAAAGCATTGCTAATTTTTATTCTGAAAAATGTTTTAAAGTAATGGGGCTGAAGTATTAGATTATTAATAAGTACATTTTAGATGTTTTTGACCAAGAGGACCAATCTGAGCAGTAACAACTGTTGCTACTCTTTGGAAACTTGTTAACATTTACGGGCGGGGCCTAAAGAGAAGCTACCCATTTCTCCCACCATACTCAGTAATGGCTTTCTGCACCTTGTAAAGTGTGTAGGGAGAGTTCGGGGTTGTATTGCTTGAGCCTTACAGGTTTAAAACATCAGTAAGGTGGAATGTTTGCATTCAGGTTACTTACTGTAAATTTTAGAGTGGAGACTGCAGGAATACCATAAATGGAGAGACACAATATGAGTGAATGAGGGTTGAGTATGCATGAGAGAGCAGAAATAACCAAGAGGCATTCATTTTCTCATTTATAAAATCCAGGAGTTAAAATTCTAAAAATAAAATTTGATGTACTGTGACACAAATTCATTTATTCAGTCCCTCACAAATATTTGTTGTGAATCTGTTATGACTAGATAGTGTGCCAGTACTACATTCAGTAGTGAACAAAATGCCTTCATAGCGCTTATATTCCAGTGAAGGATACTGATAATTAACAAGTAAGCAAACACAAATAATATAATTAGGGTAAGTACCATAAAGAAAAGAAAGCAGGATGAAAAGAGAATGTATCAATATAGGATCCATTTAGGAGACAAGTAGCACAATATTTTGAATAAGGAAAGTTTAATAGAATTTTAACTATATTAGGTGAACTGGAATAAAGAAAACCCTATAGAATGTAGGAATAGCAATTAAAAGAAGCAGCCATCACTGCTAGGGCTAAGATAGAGTGCCCAAGTTAGAGTGCCCAAGTAAAAGCCCTGCTCTAAGTTTTTGTGGCCATTTTGGAGAGTGTGACCATGTTTCACTGAATGGCAAAGGAGTTATTGGTGCCACACTGATGGAACTTATTGGAAAAGCATCCTTCAGAACTTGTGGGGAAATGTAAGCTCTAGGGTAGAGGTTGGCAAACTATGGCCATGAGCCAGCCATCTGTTTTGCAGATAAAGTTTAATTGGAACATAACCATGCTTAGTTTATTACATATCGTCCATAGAGTTGCTGTTTTGCTGCA